AAAAAAACTAATCGATGAATTTAACGAAAAAAGACTTGATATGTTTTAAGTTTTTGAGGCAATCACTAAAAAAAAAGTCGAAATGAAATCTGAAAGGAAAAAATTTTTTAATTCAAAGCTTAAATTACAGTTTCATATGTTTCGTTTCAAACTCAAACTATTTCTATAGCTAGTGATACTTTAATTTTCATAAATTCAAGAAACTGGATGTTTTTAAATTTTTGAAATTTTTTATGCTAGTTAAAAATCTTTGAAATTCCTATTTCTAAAGCATTTCATCATTTGCAATTTTTGTTATTCTTTTAAAATTTCGATTTCAATCCTGTCATGTTTGATGGTTATATTATTAACGAAATAGGCATAAATCGGTTAGAAACGATCATAATTTCGTAATTTCAAATAATTTGATAATGTTTGTAAACTACAATTTAATAATTTGATATTTTAGCACTGACAATGATATTGTGATTGTTGTCACTAAAAAAAAAGAAAAAACAATATAGAAGTATACAAATGTAATAATTATTATTGACAATTAATTGCTTTAGTAATTACAATTAAAAACTTATTCAGAAAAAAAAAGGATGAATTAATTATTAATAATACAAAAGGAAGAACGAAACTTTTTATCAAATTTATTTATTATCATCCGGATAGGATGCTTATTTCTGGATCAAAGTGTAACTGTCCGATTTTTGTTAATTAATATCCATTGCAGCTGTTTGGTTTTACTAATCATGTTCAATGTAACTGTCCGGTTTTACTAAACAGCTCATTTCTGGATCCAATCACAATCGTCCGCCTTTACTTTTGATAAATGATGCAATGACTATCAATATATCATTAAGAAAAGAAGAAATCAGTTATTAATATTAGAAAAGAAACTTTACTTTTTATCATATTTATTTATTGTCATCCAGATAGGGTACACATTTCTGGACAAACTGCAACCCTAGGGTTTTACTAATTAATGTCTCTGTTGCAACCATCCGGTTTTATTAGTTAATATCTGTTGCAACCATCCGTTTTTACTAATTAATATCCGTTGCAACCATCCGGTTTTATTAATTAGTTTTTGTTGTAAACATCCGGTTTTACTAACTAGTGCCCGTTGCAATCATCCGGTTTTATTAATTAATTTCTGTTGCAACCATTCGGTTTTACTAATCATGTCCATTTTGGTAAATGATACACTAACTATCAATGCATTACCAAGGATAATATGTAATATTTCCTTTAAAAAGTTTTAATCTTATAATAAATGACAATGATAGTAAAGGAAAAAAAATTTGATTTAATTAACAAATAAAAAAAATTTGACTTAATTTTTTTGTTTAATTTAAAAAAAGAAAAGAAACTATTAAAATTTTAACCTCTTCCTGACCAATGACCATCCTATTTTTTCTATTTGCAGAAATTTAGAATTAGAAAATTAGAATGCAATCAATAAGTAGAAAATAATTTTGAGATAGGCGGGACAGTTTGTGGCGAAGTGGCCTTTTCGGGCTTCCTTTAATTGCTTATTTGTGGTTGATGAATGTTTTACTTGTTAACTCTCTTGGGAAGGATACGGAATTTCGGATATATAATTTATTGCAGTGTAAACAAGATTGAAATGGTCTAGAACGAGAGTTACGCTTTCATCTTCTTCCTCGCCTTTTTGGTAATTTTTTTGATCAAATTATTGATTTTACCAATTTCCCGTTCTGGTAATTTCTTCAATGAAGGCTATTACATCACCATTTTCGTTATTTACGTATCATTCGGAATGAGTCACTTAATTATCGCTATCACTGTTGATAACGAAGGAAAAAAAAATTCTTTGTTGACTTGTCGGCAGAATATCCGTCATAACGTAGTGAAGGATAAAACGCGAGTTAATTTTTATAAAGAAAAAAAACATTCTTTGAAAGTTAACTTCTTAAAAAAAAATTTTTTTTCATCTCTTGTTTTTTCATTTCTTCGAATGGATATATAAAAACTATTGTTTGGACAAAATTTTTAATGAATTCTCATAATTTTTGTGTAAATTTTAGTATAGTATTCGACACTTGTTCACGGTATTTTGTTATATAAATTCCTCGAAATGGACGAAGTGCCAGATATGGATGACTTATTGAATGAGCTTGAAGCCGCGGAAACGACTGGAAAGCTGAAATATGGTGCAAATGACCGATAATAAACCCTAATATGGTTCACATAGATTCTTCGAATGATTTAACGGATAAACGGAATACTTCACATATGCTAATTAACGATCATATCGGTACATGTTGGAATGTTTCGTTTTTTAAAAGTGTCTGAGAAATTTTAGAATAATGTGGAAAGATGAGAAAATGCATCAAATGGCATGGGAAATTTATGACAAGTGACAAATTAATCAATTGTTCATGCTAGATGTTTTAATGAATTGTTCATCTTAGATTTCTGAAGAATTTCGAAATATTTCAGAAGTGTACGAAAATGCAAATGCTGTGGATATTGAAGCCATAAACGTTCTGTCTGATATTATCTCTTCTTTATCATCGGACGAAAACGGCAGTTTACATTACAGTGTTGAGGTAAAACCGGAAGGTATTGCTGAACAAGCTACTGAAATTGTGAAGGATTCAACAAGTGAAAATTCAATTTCCGCGAAAATTGCTGACTATAAAGAAGATGAGATGAGGGTAATTTTGCAGTTTATTATGCAGTTTATGCAAAATAGTAGTTGGTAAAGATTGATGATGATATTTTCTACGTTCGAATCAAAAACTTTGAATGCAATAAATAAGTTCTCTAAGCAAGAGTTTTTAGCAAGAGTATAAAAAGTTAGGTCCTCACAAGCATGAAACATTCGATTAAAGGAAAAACCCCGAAAAGGGGAAATCTTCAACAAATAATAAAAGTCAGTGATGGTACTTTAGCTGTAAAGTGGCATAAAATATTGCAATTAACAACTTCGGCATTTTGAAGTATTCTAGCAAAAATAGAAAAAGTGAGTTTTCCAAACCGGAAGTGAATTAGTAAGGCAACAGCCTATTTCATTTTAATGATATCACACTCATTTATTTCTCCAATAAGTGTCAACTTTTTATTTAGATCTTATTGGATGTAAGAATCTTGTATCTAATTAGTCTCCGAATAACTCGACCTGGTTTTTCTAGTTATATAAATTTTTCCGAGAATATTTTACTCCACTTTTTTTAGGAAAGCTTATCAGATCATCTGCCCTCACATTCTAATGTTGTCTTGCATGAATACGGAGAAACTAATTCTGAGGAACTCTTGAATAAGGCATGTACTTTTAAGGTAAGTACTTTGTAAGGTATGCACTTTGCACTTTGTACTTTGTAAGATATGTACTTTTAAGGTACATATTGAAAAGTAAGGTATGCACTTTGTAAGTTTTCCAACTTTCTGAACTATTTGTTTGATATGGTTAGGATTCGATTAATTGATTGAGTGGAAGAGATTGATCACCATTTCTGGTGTTGGTTGCCATTTGTTGAAAAATGTTGAGAGATGTTAAACGTCGTTGTGTATTTCGACATGTTATATTAGCAACATCAGGATATTTTCAGAGGCATTCTTTACTTTGTTCTTTTACCTTGTTCACAAGGCGAACAGGGCGCTTGAGAAAATTAATTTGAATTGGGGAACTGACGATCTTGAAAAAAATTTGCAGGTAACCGATGAAATGGACAGGATAGCTGAACAATACGCTGAAATGGAGGAGTATTTAGACAGGTAAAAGTACTGGATATAATTCGTATAGATATAGCTATGCTAGGTCTTAAAGTGACTCCGTCAGTTTTTAAAAGTCATCTCTTTGTTATTAATTATAAGCCCTTATATTATAGTTGTGTCACAAATGACACTTCTCCGGATATCTCAAAAGAACCGTGCCTGACATCTGAAACGGAAGTTTCATCCATATTTTCCTCCAAGAAAGCGACTAAATGGGAAATGATTACTCTAGAAGAAACAGATAGGAAATCTCTTTCTCGTGAAGTGGATTCCGGTAGGAATTTTCGGTCATCTTCTGAATCTTTTAACCTAGAAGAAGAAACGGATCGGGGAGTAAGAGACGCAGTCATGGCAAGGATCGTCAAAGATGCAACAATAGAACATGATGTAGCCTCATTTACCACTACTAACGATCAGCTAGTCGATGAAATACCACACGATACATTGGTGGCTACAAAAGATTCAGTCTCAAGTGATGCACAAAAAAATGTTGACGTATGTATTGATGGCAGTACGACATCGCCACCATTATCTTGTTGTATGCAATCGTCTATTAGAGCAGATGATGCTAAAGAGAGTGAGTTTTTTTTTTTAACTTCATATGTGTTTCAATGTCATCTTTCCAAAAAATTGGCAATGCTTCTGTTCCTTGAGCGAATTATAACATAGTGACAGTTTAGAATCCTTTAAATTTCAGATATAAGCTTTTAGGAATCGGAAATTTGCTGATCTCTATATGGTTTCAGCGATCAGTTCATTCGAAAAATCAGAAGATGAAAATGAGAGAGAAAGGCGAGGAAATGATAATGAGGGAGAACAGCAGCCAGATTTGATAGAGAATAGTATTGATCATTCAGTGAGCGAATGTGAGATATTGGGTCCAGTGGTTGATGAAGCTCAAACCATCTCTGTGGTCTCAAGTACATATGATATATCACATGATTCTGGAGTGAAGTATTTGACTGAGAGCGAACGTCAACTTGGGAAGGCACGTGCAATTTCCTAGATTCTTCATTTTTTCTTTCTAAATTTTTCCTTAAATTTTTCTTTTCTTTTAAATCAAGATTAGATGCTATTGAGTAAAGGCTTATATATTCGATGCAGTGCTACTCTTTTTGCTTAAACTATAAGTCGTTAATCTTGGCAATCGTAGTAAATTTTTTATGTGTGATATTTGTTGAATTACGATAGTTACTACTATGTATGGATTCTTCATTCAATAAAGTGTTGAGTTCAAAGAGAATTTGTTTTTCAGAAAAAACCAATATGGATAGACGATAGGGAAACGCTGTCATGCATGTTATGCTGCATTAAATTTACAGTTTTCGTTAGACGGCATCACTGTAGATGTTGTGGTCGTGTGTTATGTGCTCGTTGTACCACGCAGAAGGTTACTTATGCTTATCATTGGTATTTATAATGTTTTGTTTATAATGTTTATCATTAAGTTGTCGATGTTTGATCAGCTTTCCCATGAACTGGTTTCCAAAATTTTTCAATTGCAAATTCTTTGTTATGTATCATTCTTGTTATTAAAAGGATAAGATTACATTTCTTGTTATGAAAAGGATGAAAAAGATTATTAAGACCATAAAAAGATTGTTTTGGTGCTGAGGCAATCACTGAAATATGGAATAAGACTTTACAGTTGGATCATGATTTATGGACCAGTTCATTTGGATTACTACTTATCAGGATTATTAATACTCAATTCCTTAACTTATTTCACTCTCTTTTTCCGTGATCTAGTTCTTATTTTGGTGCATTTAATTTCCAAGAGAAGAAAGTTAATATTTCATATGACATAGAATTTAGGCTTCTTTGTCATATGTCAATAATCCAAAGAAAGAACATCGAGTTTGTGATCCGTGTTTCGAAACATTACAACGTATTGAAGAATTTGAAAAGAACATAAAAACAGGGTTAGTTTTCTTGACAAATAATGAAAGATCGATACCGAGTGAAAGAAGGCAGTAAATGCGATATATAACGTGGAGGAAGCAGAAATTGGGAAATCCTGGGAGCAATTTTCTGAGGTTTCTCTCTCTTCAAAATCGTTTTAGACATCCTTAAATTTATGATAATTTCTTGCTAAATTTTTTAAAAAGAGAAATGGATTTATTCGTAGAGAAGAGTTCTAAGTTATTTCATTGCAGTGAGTTAGCAGATATGAATGAATATGGTCATTCATCAGATATTAGTCCGGTTACAAAACCAGTGTTAAAATCAAGAGGGAAACCAGAAAATACTATCAGTACCAATAATGAGTGCTCATCATCAAATGACACAGCACATGGTGGTTCTGCAGTAAAACGGAGCGTTACATTCCGCGATGGTCTTCATCCAGGTTACAGTTCTAATGCGACTGAATCATCAGTTACTGACATGGGTTCTTCAAAACCAAAGAAGGTAATATCTAAATCAACTTTCCGAAGTTTAGGTGATCAACTTTTCGAAGTTTAGATGTTACAGGTGTTAATCCTTATTTAAAATGGACTTATGAAACTTATGAATTCTGCTGAATATTTTATTATATTTCATTCTCCTATCATTCGTTACTTACACATAATTTATATAGCATGATTCGAGAAGGCAGCATATATCACGGCGTCTACTACAACTTCACGTTGCCGACGAATGTGTCTGCCTTCTGTCTGGTGATGGCTTAGCTTCTGATGCTGACGAAACAGCAACTGCTGATAATCAACGTAGGACCGCCTTGTATCTGCGAAGTAAAGATGGTATCATAAAAGAATGTGATAATATTCAGGAACAAATCACTTCGTTAAAAAATTTTGAGCTGCTTGAAGTGATGATTTTTCGAAATTTGTGGTGTAGCATTAAGTTATGTCAATGTGAGTCTTTTTTCCCAATTGTTTTCAGGATTTCGTGGTTCAGATAGACTTAATGTAATCACCACCTTTTAACCGGTTGTACCTTTGTTTTGTCTACCTCGCGTTGTTAGTTCAGGAAAAGGATTTCGCATTTGCTTGAAATATGAAATGTACCGAACATTTAAATTCCATTGAGTACTGACTGTTTCGGAATGCTGATAGTTAACTTTTTATCTTTGAATTATATAAATTAATCAGAATTAGGACTTGAGAGTTACTGGAGTACTTTGCTTTATTCGTTTACTCTATATCACATATTTTTACAAATTAGATGAGGCAAAAATTACAGACGAGAACAAGACTGTGATGTGTATTATATCGAGTGGAATGTCATTTGTTGGACTGGATGAAATCTTTCTTGCTTATTACTGTGATACGGAACTCATCGAATTGCCAATCGATTATTTGTGGCGAGTAATGGTTTTTTATGTTTTGGTAATTGATGCATAGGACAAGATGAGGCGAAAATGTATAAAGTGAGAGAAGTGCTGAAACATGGTTATGGAAAAAATAATTATGTCGGAGGGAAATGTTTGCTGAAAATTTAGTAATTGAGAATGGTGATTGATATTTTGGTAATTGAATGATTTAAATTTTTATAGATTTACGAAATTTATCAGAATGCATTGGTCCCACGCAATGAATCATCAGAGGAAGAATTGGGTATACGATTAGCACACAAGCGCATTCCAACACTGAATCGAACAGTCCGATTCTCAAATTCCGATAAACCAGTAGCACGCGACATACTTCTGTTTAGACCATCTGTTCAGGTTTTATCGATGCTAGAAATTCTTTTTATTTAATCTTTGGTGTTGACTTTGCTACTAGGTAACCTGATGTCGCTCTGCGTTATTTTTACCTGTCGTTTAAGATATATGAAGAATAAGATGTCATGATAGAGTACATAAGAATTAGAATTATTTAGCAATATTTGAACTTAAGACTAAAAATTTCAAAAACTAAGAATTTCAAAAAAAGACTAAAAATCAATCTGCTTTAGACATTTGCAAATCTCTTGGTACCGTCTTCGTCATTTTTGGTTGCAACATTCATTTATCAATCTGAGTCGATTTGGGCAAATGTGATACCACAACGACTTCTCTTTAGACTTGGTCTTCAAGCTTCCTGTACGTCATTAGCACTTCCTTAGATCTCATTAGTTTAATTTACTGTTCATAGTACTTCAGGTATAATTAGGTATGACACTTGTGATGATTCCTTCTAGCCGATTAAACTTTCAGTGTTTCGAATTGCCGTGCTTTAGTCTTTTTTTCGGCTTCCTTGAAGCTTTGTAAAATATTTCTCGCCATTTTTTTTCGCATTTTTGATTACTTACGCAACGCCATAAATTGATAAGATCGGATTTTGTTAAAAGTCAGTTCTCCAAGTTTTTGTTACTCAATAGTTAAGTAAGAATCATTGTTGAATATAGCTGTGTTCAGTATGCTAACAAGGATTTTACTGATACTTATCATCAAGTTGTTTCAGTTTATCCCACATCAATTATAAATGATTTCAATCGAGAACCGGTGTATAATTCAATATTTGATACAAGCGTCCTTAAAATGTTCAACGATTTTCGAAATTGGCGTTTCCAAATGCCACTTATATCAGGTAGCACATTAACGATTCAAGATAACAGCGAATCTGTCCTAATTATTCCAACTTGGGCATCGGAAGAGGTTTGATTTATCATTCTGTCTTTTTATGTGTTATTATGTGTTTCCTTTCCAGCATTATTTTATGTATTAGAAACGGAACTTCTTTTGTACTGTATGAAGTTTTTATGTTATTTAGGCAACTACATTATTTCTATCTCCTTTAGCTCTTTTTTGCCTTCCAAATCCACAGAGATATGAATCTGAAGGAATTCATGATCTGAGGGAGTATCGACTAATCGAAGTTTTTTATCCACAAAAGGTGTTAACGTAGTAACGTAGCAGCGTTTTTATTACGGTGTTAGGCTGAAAAATTTGTGTTCGAAAGGCTATTGACCCAACATCCAACATAAACTTATGGCATTTTTCTGTCGACAGAACTTTTACATTGACTAAATACTGACCAATTAGAAGTTTGTTTTGATTTATGAATGTGATAAATTTGTTAAATATCCGAAAGTATTGAGTGCATACAATAATCCATCCAGTGAATTATCGAAAATTTTTTTTGTAGGGCTAATCAATTATTAAGTAATTTTCAGATCAGCAAGTTGATCAAAGCAAATAAAAATATGCTTGCATGGGGTCTTGATTTTAGTCCTGATGCTGATAGCTATCTTATCTGCAAGCAGGATAATGCCGGTTGTTTCAGCTCACAAATTTTCACGAAAAGCATTGCAAATCGAAAAGGTATTTAGCAACTGCTTCTTTTTTCCCCTAAATTTGCAAAAAATAATAAAAAACAAATAATATGTTGCAGTAACTGGCGCTTCTTTTGTTGTTATCGACGGAGCTTTGAAAGACGGTGGAGAACCATTTGCTATAAATGTTCTGGAAGTAAGTTCATGTGATATTTTCAGTTAATTCGTTTTCATTTTTGAAGTTACACTAAGAGTTGTGTTGAACTAATGTCCTTAGTTTTCCATTTTGTTAACTAAATAATGAGGTATTTTAAATTGAAATAGGAAAAGACATCTGCTACTTACATGGCTATTCAATTTAAACTCCTCTCATGTCTTTGTCTCCAACAATGTAGCTTACAACTCATAGAATTGAATCTGTTCCTCTAATACTGTCTCTGTGTTCCACAGAATCTTTACATGTATCGAAGAACAGTATTGCTGCTATTACCGGTCACATAGCAAACACTATTGCACTTTCGTCAAAATCCCCTTTCATTCGCAGCATCCTGAATGTAATTCTTTTGGAGGACGGCGTGACAATTCGATTTCGATCAGATATAATGGAATCACTTATTGAAGCACTTTTGCTTGGACGGGATTTTGAACAGGATTCATCGGCAATGAAATTTTCAATTAACTGGGATGATGATTCATATTCACAACAGCTTGTTGGTGGATT